ATTCGGTAAGACTACGCACCTTATGACAATTAAAGTGACTGGTAGGTATCAATGAGATATATTAATCTCTATGTAGCTCTTTAATGAGCATATGCTGTCTAAATTAAAATTAAAATGTCAATAAAAGTGCTTCAGTAAAATTTTAATAAGGGTGCTGGGCATACGACTACATGTAATATGGCGCCATCTACTGGGTAATTTTTATTTCATTAGCGTTACCTCAGCGAGGGACCCCCTATCTAGGTTGAGAACGATGTAAGTGTACCGAATGAACTGTGAACATATTCGTAGTCGCACATGCATACATGTATCGGCCTCACGCCACCGTCTGTGCATAACACCCACGGTACAATACACTCCGAGTGCAATACATCTAAGTTTAGCTCTGAAAATAGTTTAGGATCGTTTTGTAACTTCAGTAACTTGTTCTGCAGAAAATGTCCTGTCTAATGGAGTTCGTGTAGCGTTTATCCGATTAAAAGATTGTTTTTAAAATCTGTTTGTTTACGTCTAAAAATCAGCAGCGACATTATCATACATTGATATTAACTTGATTTACATTGACTTTGATATTGACTTTAATTACATTATGATACTTGATATTAACATATCGAAAGGTTCAATCACTGTAGCCTGCCCGGTCGGCTCGCCCGCTCCCAGGATTATGAGATCACGATACAGGATATCACACGATAGAACACATAAACTATATTTTCTTTTGTTATTATTCAATCGGTATTTTATTTCAGTATCAAACTGCAGTTGCTCATCGCTATACATGTCATCTTGATGATATCAGGAGTGAAGAGATTCAAATGTTCAATTGTTGTTTTTATCAATTTGTTTTTATTTACTCCTCATAATAAAGTGGTGACAAGTCGTTTAGATCCTCTTTCTTGTTGGTATTACACAGTTAGCCTACTAATAGATGGCACCAGACTGTCAAAATTTAAATGGCGGCTGCATGTACAGCGGTTTTGATCATTGAATTTGATCATTTGCTATACTGAACATTATTAATTATTGCCGGGGCAGCAGACGCATTTGACATAGTTGAGGCCTATAGGATCCAGCCATTCTTCCCTTTAGCGATGGCGGTGTTCCACGCGCAGGCTGCTGCACGTCGAAGTTTTGAAAAACACCACAGAAAAAGAGAAAGAGCTCCATCTTCGCTAGCATCTCGCCGAGGCAAACGCGCCAACCTGTAACGCAGCAGTACATTCACATGATCACCGAAACGTATCAACAAAATGTAATACGCAAGAATAGCAAGAATAATTTAATTAGATATAATTTTAATACGTATACTTTAATGTTTTTCTACGTGTGATATATTTTATATTTATATTACATATATAATTAATATAAATATAATTATATATATATATTTATATGTATATATGTATGTTATAATTTTTTAGATATACTAGTGATTCAGCTACACAATAGCCTCATGAAATAGAACCCCCCCTCTCACACACATGCCACTCTCGTACGATCACACACCCTTCTGAATCTTATTTGAGTAGTGGGCGCGTAGTCTTGTAAGCAAACGATACAGCCGTTAGTTTTGAAACATAAAAAAAATATTCTAATGAATATTGAATATTATTTGTGTGTGTGTAGCGTATAATTTACACCTATTTGAACTGAAAATTATGTGAGGAACCTAGTAGGGTCATGCATCCCTTTAAATATATCTTGAAAAGCTTGCTCATTGCCACCGTATTATTATATTTACCTATCGAAAATGAACGATGCGTCGCATTTGTTGTTAAGTTTTCCATTTTGCGTCCAGTACCGGCCGGGGTCAAAGTCCTCCGGATTCGGGAAGGAGCAGGGGTCGTGGTTGGCAGCCCAGAGGTTTGCAAAACACTGTGGTTCCCAGCCGGGATGTGGTAAACCACGGAAGTTAACGGCTCTAGTCGTGGCATGGGAATCGACAGCGGGCTAAAGTCGCTGCCATTTAAAACGAAGATGAAAGAATTAGAATCGAATTCTTAAAATTATAATGAGTGACATCAGAAGATAAATTAAATTAGATTTGATATACAAGTTCTAACGTTAATATGCGTCAATATCGTCTCGATGAAAGTATTGTAATTTAAAAAAAATACCGCGCAGTCGCGCGGTCAATCCAGATACAAAGCAATATATCGAAGATGAGTAGGATAGAAGTTAGAACCTCATTTCCCCCGTAAAGACGCGATAAATCGCTTGCTATTTATTAGGAATTGTTTATTACTTCATATACTGTCGCGTTACACCACATGTATGAATGATCAAGAAATAAGCGCCGATGCCAAGAGCCGGTCAAAGGCGAACGATTTCCACAATCTCTCTCGCTCTCTCTCTCGCGCGCGCTCTCCTCTCTCTCTCTCTCTCTCTCTCTCTCTCTCTTCTCCTGAACCATCAATATTTATTGATATCATCTAAATTCCATTGATAGTGAAGCATACTGTGCGCATACAACCAATATACGTCGACGTAAACTGACAATGAAATGTCGACTCATTTGCGCGTTTTTACACGTTGAAATAATTCATTTTCATCCGCGTAAGTGTGCTAGAATGCGTCAATATAATCGACGTTTTCTTTTACCTATTCTTTGAACTTCCATAAGAGTGGCTTCGGTGTATGGCATGTTAGGTTTGTCCTTGAGGGAAACCGCACGACCACGACCAACCACCTCCTCGATTTCTCTCTGCACGCTCCTCTGCACATCCGGGTAGTTGATCATGTAGAGAAAGACTCCAGTAGTGTTGTACTCGTGGTTTCAGAGCCAGCCGCAAACAGGTTTCCGACTATGTACGGCATCTCCTTCGCTTAAAGACAACTAGAAAATTACTGTGTAGTCTAGCAATATACTGCCATGCGCACGACATACACACACGCGTGCACGCACGCACCCACCCACGCACGCACGCACACACGCGCGTACGCACATACACACATACACACGCACACAGACACAGACGCGCGCACGCAACGCACGCTCACGACACCACACACACACACACACACACACACACACACACACACACACACACACACACACACACTACATGCTAACAAGTGCCCATTAACACCCTACACCTGACGGATGTATGCGTAAGTTAACTAGAAAATTATTGCAGTATGATGTCATATTGCTATACAGCTATGTTGCAATTACATATTATTAAGAGGCTGTTAATATCGCGTACAAATCTTCCTTATGAACATAGCATCACAATCACAATTCACACGCAATCACAATCGCAATTCACACAAGGTATCAACGGGCTATGTTACTATATAACTATATACTAAGCGTTGCAAGCGGCCGAAGTGAGTAACCTATAGGTGGCACCATTCAGCTGCAAATTTTTACCAGTGTAGGGTATTTAGCTACTTTTACAGATCATTAACATATTCCACGTGAGCGTCCTTTTTCCCGTTATCCTTCCCCTGAGTATATCATCACAACACCTTAACCACTGTATAGATATAGCTTGTGTTATACTCAGCGAAGCAGCTTGCTCGACAATTTTTGTTTTGATATATTTTTACTTTTAACTAGTGCCTAGCATCTGAGCTATAACGTATAGCGTTAGCAATTCTGCGAAAAATGCTATTTATTGTTATATACATTTATTTGAAAAGGTCGACTACCCGTGAATGTAGTCGGTAAATCCCCGCTTTTCGCTCGTCCTCGATTTGCTTCAGATATGCATCGATGAAGTCCGTCACCGTTTCTCCGTCGAACTATCTCGATGTTCCTCACGCGTTCGTCGTGAAACGCATTGATGTTCTTGCTCAGACGAACCATGTTCTCGATGACGTCACCGCCGAATCCGGGAACGAAGCGAAGAGCGGGCAGGTAGTTGATTATTCCGAATACGCGAGTGTCCGAAGATCTCGTCATCATCCGCAGTAGATTCCGGAATTCCGGATCGTCGTAATCGAACCGGTTTCCGTACACGATGCTGCAGATAACGTTGGATACCGCGTTTCCGAGTAGTAGCTGTGGATCGAACGCCGCGCTGTTCATCTTCGCGATCTCCTGCTGAAGAAATGCGATCTCTTCGTTGATCTTTCCTTCCAACGACAGCTTCCCCATGCGAAATCTCGTAAACGCCGATAGAGCAAATTTCTCTGTTCTTTCCAATGGGAGCGTCGGTGGTGACTAGACCTATATTTTACACAAGATAAGCAACCCATGCACATACATAACATCAGGAGCGTATAATTCTATATTATACGCTCTTGATATAATAATATTATATAATATATTATATATATAATATAATATAATATAATAGTATATAATAGTATATAATAGGAGTAGAGATAGGAGTAGTTCCCTATTATCTACTCCTTATATATATATAAGGGCATCTAGATCTACTCCACAATCCAATGGGCCGCATGTTGGGCATCCTAGCTCTAGTACTATAGCCCTTGTTGCCACAGGCCTATGCAACAATGTGCATGCCTGTGGCAACAATTAAGGGCTATAGTAATCTAGGACCTAGGAGTCTAGGAGCTAGTAATCTAGGAGCTAACGCTGAAGCTTCCTAACGGTAAGGAGCACGCAAGCTCATATTGACATATCTGTTACCAATGCACCGTCTTTAAATAAATAAATAAATAAATAAAATAATTAAATAAATTAGAAAACTAGTTGCATCCCTACCATGACGGACTCCATTTTCGTCGCTCTGCAGTTTGCGGCTGAAGAAGTGATTCGGTCTGCCCGCAAACACGTCGCCCATCTTCAGAAACGCCTCTTTGATCGCCTCGTAGTCGTTCAGCACGACTGCAAGTTTCGGACCCATGTACACAGTAAACACACTGCCGTACGTCTTCGCCAGCTCGATGAAGACTAAATGCGGGTCGGGTCGGTGCGTAGCATGGGCATGCTGCCGACGACCGGCCACCCTCTCGGCCCGGGCGGCAACCCGCTCGGCCGCCGTCCCACGAAGAAGCTGAGAACGCAGCACAACAGAATGGCGATGGCGATAGCGATTCCGAGGCGATCGTCGGTGAGCGAGTCGAGATTAAGGACGGCCATTGCAGCGATGATATGGTCAGCTGAACGTAGCTGCAATGCTGTGTGTGTGTGTGTGTGTGTGTGTGTGTGTGTGTGTGTGTGTGTGTGCGTGCGTGCGTGCGTGTGTGTGCGCGCGCGCGCGTGTGTGCGTGCGTGCGTGCGTGGGTGGGTGTGTGCGTGTGCGTGTGCGTGCTCGTGCGTGTGTGTATTATATATAGTTCAAAATGCGCGTGAGAGAACACGATGGCTAGCCACGCATCGTATATATATGAGAATATTCACTCGCGAGCTAACGAATAGACCCTTACTTTGTCATTATCAGGATCGACCTTTATCGGGTTTTATTCCCAATACGGTTGAACAGCAACGACAAGCGAAACGTATCGATGACGTCACTGTTCTGATGTATGTACGATACTATATTGCACAGCCTATGCCTGACGAGCTTGAACCGTTCTACAGCATATGTTTTGGGTGTTGGTTGACTCAGCCTAGTTCCTGTAGCCACCTTCGTGTTGTGTGTGAAACGGTGAGTTTTTGGCTCGTTTACTTGTCGTGGCGTATTGATATTACGTAAAAATTAACTGATAAGACGCTCTGATATAAACAGACAATATATAGATATTATACATAACTGTTAAAAACGCTCTGAGAAAGAGTGAGTTCGTCTTGAGCACATGTAGTTCCATGAATCGATGTAAACTGCCGCTGAAGGGGTCGTTGTCGTATAAGGTACTACAGATATGTACCCGAGGTACGTATATGTATACACAATTGTGTACCAGACCTGTATCTTCTCAGCATATATGTGCCCTGTGTTTACATAAACGTACCTGCCCTTGAGATGGAGATCGAATGAAGAAGGTCATAGAGGAGGAGTAGGGGGCAGGAGGAGGAGGAGGAGGAGGAGGCGTGTGCGTGCGTGCGTGCGTGCATGCGTGCGTGTGTGTGCGCGCGTTTCTCTCTCTCTCTCTCTCTCTCTCTCTCTCTCTCTCTCTCTCTCTCTCTCTCTCTCTCTCTCTCTCTATCTCTTTCTCTTCTCTTTCTCTCTCTCGCGCGCTCTCTCTCTCTCTCTCTCTCTCTCTCTCTTTCGCTCTCTCTCTCTTCTCTCTCTCTCCTGTGCGTTCGATGCGTGTGTGTGTGTGTGTGTGTGCGTGCGTGCGTGGTGGTGTGTGTGCGTGCGTGCGTGCGTGCGTGTGTGTGTGTGTGGGAATGTGTGCGTGCGTGCGTGCGTGCGTGCGTGTGTGCGTGTGTGTGTGTGTGTGTTGTGTGTGCGTGCGTGCGTGTGGTGGTGTGTGTGATGTGTGTTGGTGTGTGTCTGTGTGTGTATGTGTGTGTGTGTGTGTCTGTCTGTCTGTCTGTCTGTCTGTCTGTATTTCTGTGTGCGCGTGTGCGCGCGCGTGTGTGCGTGCGTGCGTGCAGTCGCGTGCGTGCGTGCGTGCGTGCGTGCGTGCGTGCGTGTGTGTGTGTGTGTGTGACGTGTGCTGATCCAGGCAGTTTAGCTGAAGGGGTCGTTGTCGTATCAGGTACTACAGATATGTACCCGAGGTACGTATATGGTATACACAAGTGTACCAGACCTGTATCTTCTTATATATATGTACCCTGTGTTTACATAAATGTACCTGCCCTGAGATGGAGATCGAATGAAAGACGGTCATGGAGGAGGGGTAGGGGCAGGAGGAGGAGAAAAGAGTAGGGGCAAGGAGGAGGAGAAAGAGAGGAGGAGAAGGTGAAAAGGTGATGGAGTAGGGGAAGAGGAGGAGGGGATGGGAGGAGAAGGAGGAGAGAGGAGGCGGAGGAGGAGGAGGGAGAGGGGAGGAGGGGGAGGAGGAGCGAAAAGGTAATGGAGATGATATGAAGACGTCGCGTCATGGAGGAGGAGTAGAGGGCAGAAGGAGGATGAGGAGGAGGAGGAGAGAGGTGATGGAGTAGGGGGGAGGAGAGGAGGGGGGAGAGGGGGAGGAGGAGAGCGGAGAGGTGATGGAGATCGAACGAAGACGTCATGAGAAGGAGTACAGAGGCAGGAGAAAAGGAGGAGGAAGGGAGCGAGGGCGGAGGAGAAGGAGCGGAGGTGATGGAGATCAAATGAAGACGGTCATGGAGGAGGAGTAGAGGGCAGGAGGAGGAAGAGGAGGAGGAGGAGGCGAGAGGGGAAAAGGTGATGGGTAAGGGAGGAGAGAGGGGAGGAGGTCGGAGAGGAGCGGAGAAGGTGCATGGAGATCGAATGAAGATCGGTCAATGGAGGGAGGAGTAAGAAGGCAGGAGGAGAAAGAAGGAGAGGGCTGATGAGGGGGACAG